CTGCAAGAGAAGGAAGACCAACCTGAATGTGGCATGGATTGACTACAAAAAGGCATTTGACTCTCTGCCACATGATTGGATAATAAAGTGCCTAGAAATAACAGGAGTCAGTAGAAACATCAGAAAATTTGTGCAAAGATCGATGGCACAATGGAAGACACAGTTGCAGATCAATGGTGAGAGGCTGGGAGAGGTTAATATCAAGAGAGGAATATTTCAAGGAGATTCATTATCACCATTACTATTTGTTATTGCACTGTTTCCTCTGTCAACAATACTGAATAACTCAGGACATGGTTATCAAACATCAAAAACATCTGCTAGACTATCCCACCTCCTTTACATGGATGATCTGAAGCTGTATGGAAAAACATCATCTGAAATAGAATCGCTGCTCAACACTGTCCGTATATATAGCCAAGATATTGTAATGGAGTTTGGCTTGGACAAATGTGCCACACTTACTATCAAACAAGGAAAAATAGTGAAAACTGAAGGAATCAAGATGCCCCACGAAAATAACATTAAGAGTCTGGATGAGGAAGAGTACTACAAATACTTGGGTATCCTTCAAGCTGACAACATCAAGCACACTGAAGTCAAGAAAAAGATTAGAGGTGAATACATCAAGAGAGTGAAGAAGATCTTAAAATCCAAACTCAATGGAGGAAATACCATAAAGGCAATCAACACCTGGGCAATCCCAGTCATTAGGTACACAGCTGGAATAGTGGACTGGACTCAAGCAGAACTAAAAGCAATGGATAGGCAGACCAGAAAAATAATGACAATGAATCATGCCCTTCATCCACGCAGTGACATTGATAGACTTTATCTACCAAGGCAAATAGGTGGGCGTGGAATGCTACAAGTACATCAGATGGTTGAAGAAGAAAAAATGGCTTTGGAAGAATATCTGAAGAACAATGATGAAGATGCACTGAAATTAGTATATCAGGAAGGCTTACTAACTACTGGAGAGACCAAACTGGCCTACAAGAAAGACCAAATGAAGAACAGAATAGAGGCATGGGAAGACAAAGCACTACATGGCCAATACATGAAAAAAATAGCTGGGAAAGCAGATAATAATAAAACCTGGCAATGGCTAAGAGCAGGAAAATTGAAGAAAGAGACCGAGGGACTAATTCTGGCTGCACAAGACCAAGCCTTAAGGACAAATGCATACAAAGTCAAAATTGAGAAGACAGCAACAGACAGTAAGTGCCGCCTATGCAAAGAAGCTGAAGAAACAGTGGACCACTTGGTAAGCTGTTGCAAGAAGATTGCACAGACTGATTACAAGCAGCGGCATGACAAAGTAGCAACAATGGTGCATTGGAAGATCTGCAAAAAATATCATTTGCCTGTAAGCAAAAACTGGTGGGATCATAAAATAGAGAAAGTCATAGAAAATGATAAAATTAAACTGCTCTGGGACTTCAGAATTCAAACAGACAAGCACCTGCAACATAACACCCCAGACTTAACAATTGTCGATAAGAAAGACAAAAAAGTCTGGATAGTGGACGTGGCAGTGCCTGGAGATAGCAGAATAGACGAGAAAGAACTGGAGAAGATAACAAAATACAAAGACCTACAAATAGAAATAGAAAGACTGTGGCAAAAGCAAGCAAGGGTAGTACCAATAGTCATAGGCTCCTTGGGTGCAATCCCAAAACAACTGGAGCACCACTTGAACACCATTGGCATTGACAAATTCGCTATTAGTCAATTGCAAAAGGCGGCCTTATTAGGAACTGCTTCCATCCTGCGACGATACCTGTAATACCATCAAACATCCACATCTGCCTATCCCAGGTCCTGGGTAAGGACTCGATAGGTAGACAAAATGCCAAATCCAGTCTGAACATCTGGCTGACTGTGCGATGAATGATAATTATAATAATAATAAAGTTGGAAGGGATCTTTCAGGTCATTTAGTCCAACCCCCTGCTCAGGCAGGAAACTCTATACCAGGGGTAGGCAACCTTGGCTCTTTTATGACTTGTGGAATTCTGGGAGTTGAAGTCCACAAGTCATAAAAGAGCCAAAGTTGCCTACCCCTGCCCTATACCATTACAGACAAATGGCTGTCCAGTCTCTTCTTAAAAATTTCCAGTGTTGGAGCATTCACTGCTTCTGGAGGCAGGTTGTTCCACTAGTTAATTGTTCTAACTGTCAGGAAGTTTCTCCTTAGTTCTAGATTGCTTCTTTTCTTGATTATATACATTAGCTTAATATATACATTAGCTATCATAATTAGGTTCAGCTTGGTAGTAAGCATCATTTCATTGTTGTCTTACATGAAAGGCAAAACCATGCTTTATATCCATGAGAATACTCAAAAAATGATCTTGGTGTACAGCATCTATACCAGTGGTTCTCAACCTTTTTAATGCCGTGACCCCCAACCGGATGTAAGTCGAAGACTACTCAACTGGTCGTAAGTTGAGGACTACTCAAGTGGTGCAGCACCGTTAGCGGAATGGGACTTTTGGCGGGCTCAGCAGGGCAGAGACAGCCTGGACAATTCCTATTGGCTTTTGAAAGCCAATAGAATTAGACTCTATTCAAGAGAGTCTATTCTATTGGCTTTCAAAAGCCAATAGAATAAAAAGGAGTAGCACAGCTAAGGAAAAGGGGAAAAAAATGGCGGACTGCGTTGTTTGGCGACCCCCGTGAAATGGTCATTCGACCCCAAATGGGGTCCCGACCCACAGGTTGAGAACCACTGATCTATATCATTTTTGTCTCTATAGTGTGTAACAGCAATCAGGACAAAGCTGAAAACTCTTCATATAGTAATAACATGGGGTTATTCCATTTTCACAGACAGAGAGATTGGCGCTCAGATTATGATTGCACAAGATCATTTGGAATATACAGCAGTGGCCAAAATTGTGGAAACCTTTTGGGAAAAATGTAAAGTAGAAATGCCACCTTTGGTTAAGTTTCCACCAATTTTTCTTCTAATTTCCTTATAGCTGTAGCCTTGTTCATTTAATAATACTATTTTACATCGCTTTCTGGGCAACCAGTCAACTCTTTGCACCATTACTTTAATTTTATTATGTTTTACAAGCTCGCTAAATGAAAGAAAAAAAAACCCCAACCAACTTGATAGCAATCACATAACACACTGACAAATATCCTCCTCTCAGCTTCAATACATGACATCAGTAACTGAATCCTACTGTGATCTGATTGGCTCATTGCCAAAACAAGATGACACCTGATTGGCTCTCTAAACACTCATGCTCATTGGCTACAATCAGATGAAGGAAAGCTACTTGATATCAACCTAAGCAAGTTGTACTTTTTTTTCTGGTTATTTGGCTATAATGTTTCATAGAATACAGTACAGATAATTGAACAAACTATGTTGCATTACATTCTTGATTAAATTATCTTTCCATTGATATATAATTTTACGGTACTACTCCCCCCCAAAAAAGTGGTGTAATTAGCCATCAAACCTCAAAAATACACTTTTCCCAAAAGGTTTCCACAATTTTGGCCACTACTGTACATGCCTTGGCAAGATTTGAATGAGAGACTTTCAAATACAGAATTCACATATTTAAGCAGAAAGTTACACTAGCTTTAGTATATCTGAGGTTCCTGCCATCAGTGATTCATATGACATTGCAAGAGGGCACACTTCAATACAGGTATTTGGAACAAAAGGTTGCTCAACCATGTTCCATATTATTCATTGTTATTTAATCCAATGTATCACAACTTTGCTTTGGAACTGATATTTTCACAGCTTAATTATATGTTTATAAAATAACATGAGTAAACTGTTCCAAATGGGAGCAAATTAGATATGCATCTGGAGCTTCACAGCAAGAAGAACAGCTGATGAATACATTTAGTAAAAAAAAAAGGGGGGGGGAAACAGGTGGGAAAAAAGTTATGTACGTGTATTTTCATCTTTTTAGCTTTTTATTAAAACATATCTTCAATATCTTACGAACAAGTATATCTAATAAGTTATATCTTGTTTTCACCTTACACAAATGTATATCAAAGATTTGCTTTGCAGCCCTAGAAAAAATTAAATGATGTATTTGTTCCTGATTTTTTCACATGAAGACAGTACATGGTTCAAAATTATTATCAGTGATCATCAGCCAAGAGCAATGAGTTGTGCTTATTTCTCTATATAGTCATGCCTCAATCCCTATATTTTAGAAGAAACTGGGTTTTCCTTATTGCCTTTGGATTAGGCATTTTAGATTAGAATTAGAAAATAGAATAGAATAGAATAGAATAGAATAGAATAGAATAGAATAGAATAGAATAGAATAGAATAGAATAGAATAGAATAGAGCTGGAGGGGACCTTGGAGATCTTCTAGTCCAGCCCCCTGCTCAAGCAGAAGAACCTATACCATTTCAGACAAATGAAAATTTAAAAGACGTTTGTATGCATTGAATTATTCTTTTCTAAATTAACCTGTAGAACTGTTAATAGCATACATCAGTCTTAACTACTATTGTATATGATGTTGTGATAATTCTGCATGAAAGAAGAGACAACGAAACTTTAGCCAGCATTAGCTCACAGTTTTTTCAAGCATTTTTTCTAAGATTCATTGTGATGTATTTGCAAGGAATGCCAGAAGAACTCCTTGAGAGTTATAAAACATGTGTGGACAGAGTGGCTTTCCAGCTCCCTTCAGTTAACTAATTTTGCCTGTGATGATGAATTGTATGGATTATTGGAGCCGTCATTGTTTAGACAGGTTCTAGAATTAGAGTATGTGGTTCCAGCAATATTCTAGTGAAGCTTTATTTAATGCCTGTATGTCTTTATCAAGTTTGATTTAAGAAAATAAGTTGTCAGAACTTATGTCAGAAATGCTGACATCACAATTCTAACATAATCATTTGAATAATTCAGTGATTTTATTTAGGTGTTTGTTATCCTTTTTCTTCTAAGATTCTATGCTGGAGTTCTCAGTTGCCATATTCTTTTACTTATTTTTTTAGCTGCAGGTCATCCTCATTGCTTCTTTTGCCACCTGGAACTTGGTTCAGACCGGGAAGTGCCTTCTCATTTTGTCCGCTATGTGGATGTAGATTTTGATATGCCAGCCAGTTCAGCATCCAAAGCTGCTGTTCGGTCCATCTCTGTGGAGGGCAAGACTGATGTGAGGAAGTGGGTGAATTATGCAGCACATTACAGTTATAAGGTATGGTTGAATAATTGATAACCACCCATTCACCCACACACCCACATCCATACTTTGGGGGGGGTTCAAATTTGGAGTGGCTTCCAGGAGCTTCTGGATGTGTTTCTTTTTGCATTCAGATAACTTTTGATAGCATGCCTTCTACAGAATCACTAATGTATGAATAGTCAAACCTTCTGTGCTATCTGATGCATGTTGCCTGCAGTAATTTAATGGATTAAAGCAATCTCCAGCTTTTGGGCAGAATATACTGTATGTTGCATGGAAAGGCCCCAGGCTCAGAACCTGACATCTCAAATTAAATGATCTCATAAAATAAAAATCAGAAGGATATTTTTTTTCCTGAGCCACAGAAGAATCACTTTAAATTACAATGGAACAGCAGTCTGTGTATTACTTAGCTTTTCAAGGTCTTTTAAGTGATCATAGAATGGAAAGGAAGCTTAGAAGGCCTGTTGTTCATCCCATTTGTCAGAAAAGAATTATTCACTTCCATGAGTTATAACACCCTGTGCAGAGCCACGCAGGCCTATAGCATTATTTGGGAAAGGCCCCGTTGTCCTGTCCAGCTAAACATGACTCCTGCTGAACCCAACTTGCTTGTTTGGATTTGTTTTGGACTTGCCACAGTGTTTTTCATGTTCATGCTTGTTCTGATCATCCTTCTGCTTTATCAAATGTTAAGGTGACCAACTTTTTTACAATAAAAAGGAGGACACAAATAAATTGAAGAAAAAAATATCGTAAATAAAAGAAATATTTTATTCATTGCAACAATAATACAGAATACACTATAATATGATAAGTGCATAATAAAAACATTTGTAACAATAACATTTTATATTGTAATTATGCTTACATGCCGTGCCCCCGCCTGCAGCCGCCCCGCCAGCACTGCTGCCTCACCGTGTAGAGCGGGCCCCGTGGCTCCCATAGCACAGGGGGCAGCCGACCACTGCCACCCCTCACACCCCTGCCCGCAGCAGCCCCATCGCCCCTGCCTCTTGCACCGGCAGCCATTATTGCCCTAACAAAGCCGAAGATCAAAAGAAAGTTACCATGGCGTTGCCGCTCCAGTCTCCTCCAGGTATCTTCGGGATTAACTAGAAGATGGTGTAGTTGGGTAGCAGGGACGGGTGGTGCAAAGTTCCTGCCAATTCGCCTTCGCTGCAGACAACTTACATGTGCAAAGTTTTTCGGCTGGGTGTTTTGGCGCGCTCAGCAGCAATTCCTATTGGCTTTCAAAAGCTAATAGGGGAAGTAGTACAGCTCATGCAAAAGTTGAAAAAAAACCCATCAAAAAGTGCTGGAATGCCGTTCTGAGCGTTCTATGAGAAAAAACAAAAGCCCTGCAGATTAGTCTTCAAATATCGAAAAGGAGGACATGTAGGAGGACACTTTTTGAGGGAGGACAGAACTCACAAAAGGAGGACTATCCTCCCTAAAGGAGGACAGTTGGTCACCTTACAAATGTTCTCACTTTTTTTTCCCCTTCATAAATATTCATAAATATTCTTTCAATTCTTCTTCAAAATTTTCTAGAGTTATTTTTTTCTCAAAACACCTTGTCCTTCTTTCTAATTTATTTTTCTTTAGTTAAACTTCAGTTTTAAAGCTTGAAACTTTCTCTGAACTTACTGATTTCCTTTTTGCCCCCGCCCCCCAACAATTAAGTTGCTCCTCTTTTACCTCTTCCTTGAATGTTTTGCTAGCTCTTTTATTGGTTTACAGGTAACCTAGAGTTCTATTTAGTTTAAAGCCCCTCCTTCTTTCCCCCAAGTCACTTTTTTTGTTTCTACCAGTTGTTTCTTTAAAGCATCTGGCAGAGGGCAGTTGCTCACATTAGGACAATAGTACATCTCCTTGGTCGATACAATGCCAATCTTTTCTTGAGCCTTCATCCTTCTCCTAATTGCCTCTGTGGGAACTCCCCTGTCGGTGAACACGGGAATCTTGCTGGCCTTCTCCCAGCCTTTCTATATTTTGCTCAGCTGTTTTCCAGCTCTTCCTTTCTCTTTCATAACAAAGGGTTAAGGAACATAACAAGATTTTCCCCCCTTCTTTTTAAAGTCAATTTTGTCTGGAATTCCTAGGCATTCAATTTGCTAGTCAGCTGATTATAGCTTCTCAGCACCAGTCTTGCCTAAATGCACTCATGTTTCCAACTGAAATCTCCCTGCTTCAGCACGCCATTTCATCATCTTTCTTCTAGGAATGACTTTTAGGTCTTGAATTACTTAATTGCTGCAGGCTTTGTCGCTTTGGGTCTTTTTCTCTCTTTTTTCTCTCCAATTTGCCATTGTGAAGTTCCAATGAACACCAGTCTCATCTCTGAGCAACGGCTCTCTTCCTCCACCTATTTCTCAATTGTCCCTATTTAATACTGTTCAGTTCTACTCTCCTATTTCCAGAAAAGTGCTTTTCTGTCTACTCAGGTCATGCATTCTTGTGGGAGATATTAACCCATGGCTTAATGGCCTTAACGAATGGCAGGTAGGTTTGCCATCTCATAGCCATATCAAATTTTTTTTAAAGGTCTCTTGGTTTGGGGATATTTGACTGCTTACATCTTTCCCATTTGTAGAATGGTAGAATGGCTCACATTTATAGATTTGAAGAATGTTTACTTTCATGTCTCTAGACAACCTTGCTATTGTCCCTTTTTTATTTTTTAATAGTTTGACTCATTTACTAATTTAGTGTTTCACTATTTGACCTCTCTATGGCCCTATGTTATGTATGCTATATCATACCATACAATTTCATTCCTTTGTTTAGGTTACTGGCTCCTAGTTGCAAATTCCCATGTCATGTTTCTTCACCACATAGCTCAAGTTTTGCACTTTGTTCCCTGGATCAGTTATGAGAAGTCTCCAAATCAAGGACCAACAATAGATACCACCAAAGAAGCTACTGTCCTACTGCCATGACTCCATATGTTTCAGGTGTTTGTACACACGTTTTTCTCTGTATTGTGAGTCTTCTTTTTCCCCAACTACTGGATCATATTAAATTACAACTTCAGTTGTTTACTTCACCAAATTGGCTTTATACCTCTTCGTTTATTTGAACATTAAAGAGCTCATTCCCTTCATGGTGGTAAAGAGCAGAAATATTTTTTGAGGCATTCCCCTTATGCATCCTTTGCCAATGCGTGTCCTCACCACATATAGTGGGATAGCCCATCTCTAGGGCATCTGTATCCTAGGAGCTTGGTTTCTTGTGACAGCAAAGAAACCCTCAAGGTTCTTGCAGTTTGGAAGGCATTGGAAGTGTTCCTGTGGTCACACTGTCCATATAATATTGACCATTCTGCAATAATCTAAAGCATAAACAAAAATGTAGCACAAAGTTTCACCCTTTTTAAAATTGTCAATTAAAGTTCAGGTGTTTTTTTGCCAAAAAGAAAATACTTTTTATTAATTCATTTTCAAATTGATATACATAAAATAATATAAAATAAAAATGAGTAATGCACCATATACAAAAACAAGAAAGAAAAACACTACACAAGAAATTACATAAAAAGAACAATAAAATATCCTGTAATTACAGTTACTGTATATCCCAAGTACATCAGCTGTTGTTAGTCTTCAAAAGGAAAAACTAAATTTTCAGTGTTAATCAAGCCTGTCCAGTCGGTTTTCCCAAAGGGAGAGATAATGTAACAGTTTCTGATTAAAAAAAAACAACAGAAAACAAAAACAACAAAAATCAAACAACAAGAACAGAAGCATTCTTTCAATGCTGGAAAGAAGATGCTGTTAAGATGATATGCAAGCTGGCTCTTCCCTAAATCAACAAGTTATAAGAGGGAGGGAAGGTAAAACACAAATGTAGTATATTTCCTGACCTTCTGTGTTATGCCACCTGCTCAGTGGAATAACCTTCCTCTTGGAGTTCAAAAAGCTGTTACCCTCCATCTTCTTTCACCATTATAGTTTGAATCTATTTCCACAGAGATATAATATTTGGAAGAATTTCCTCTTGCCTTTGGCCAATTTGTTATCCTTTAAATGAGCCTTGAAGATTTGGCTGTTTCCCCAGCCTCTAGACGAGTATGAGTCAGCTTGAAAAGGTTAAATCCAGTATTGTGCTATGTCTGTTCCCCCTGGCTATGTTCATCTTTTATTTCTATGTTGAGTTAATATATTGGATTTTGTTTCCAATCTGTACCCTGCTGTGAGTTGGCTGTCCATATAAATTTAAGTATAAATAGGTAAAATAAATACATGTTGGCCTTTCTTGTATATTTGAAACTGCTAACTTTAGCTCTTTTTTCAATAAAAAGAGTTATCTTGGGGGGGGGGGTTCTCCCTTTCCTCGGGCATTGCTACTCTTTCTAGTCTGCTAACGAAGCTTTTTATGAGCCATCCGGCACATTTCCACCTAACATTCCTACCACTTTGGGCCTATAACCTTAGCCTTGTTTTTTCTGTATTTTGACATTTAACATTGAAATCCTTTCAGCCGTGTCTCCTGTCCCAGTTTACCTAGTCCAGTGGTGGCGAACCTATGGTACGTGTGCCAGAGGCGGCACTCGGAGCCCTCTCTGTGGGCACGTGCACCATGCCCCAGAGATGGCAACCATCCCTTTTCAACCAGCCGCCTGCTAACTCGCCGAGGTCCCACGTGGCCGGATGCACCCCAGCACAGCTGGTTTCCCTACCCCCTGTCCCATCCCTCCTGGCCTTGCATGCTCTCCATTTCCTGGGCATGACCCATTGCATCATCTCCTCAGCTGTCGGCTGTCTGTCCAGCTCAGAGGCGGCTTCCCTGAACTGCTGGTGGCAGGCTGCGGAGCCCCAGAGTGCGCTGGTCGAGGGGCTGGCAGGCTGTGGCTGCTGACGGACAGTTGGCCCCCATGCGCTCGCTGGCCTCTGTGTGCAGGGGCCAATGGTGTCAGGCAGCAGCCGCCCCGGCCCCTGCCTCGCCTTGCCCTGCGACAATGGCACCCCTGCCCTGCCTTACCTTGCCTCCCCTTACCCTGCAGGATGAGCCTCCTGCCCACTGCCCCACCTGCCAGAGACCCCCTGGATCTCCCCGAACCCTGCCCGCCCCCCACAGGCATCCCTCCCCATGAGCAACATCGAGGTGACCACGCCCACCTTGGCCACACCCACACAGTGGGTCATGCCCACCTGGCACCTGGTGATAAATAAGTGGGTTTTGGATTGCAGTTTGGGCACTCAATCTCTAAAAGGTTCGCCATCACTGACCTAGTCTGATAGAAGACACTCTGTCTGGTAGGCAAAGTGTCAGCTCTTGGCTGAAAGCTTTATATCCTTCTTTCTTTATATCCTTCTTTCTTTATTTTTATAGGAACAAAATAGGATACCCACATATTTCATTTCTTCCAAAATCAGTCTGTACCTACAGTACTGTTTGCCTACATTGCCTACTTTTCACCACACCAAAACACCACTGGAAATATGGCACATTCTTTGAACATATATGGCACTTTCACTTTTTATCTGAATTAGACAGTACCATTTCACAAGAATCAATGTTTATTCTTGACCTTCTGAGGTCCAACTCAAAGCTTGGTTCTGTTTCCCCACTAGCTCCCAGAATTTATCTTAAAGAAGTAGCTATCAGACATTGCCACAAGTTATCCAAATAGCAGGGCTTCCTTATAAGTATGACGTATTCAGTATAATGTTTGTGTTTATCAATCTAATGGAAAGAAAGAAAAAGCACATTATATATACCTGGGTTTTTTTTTTGTTCCCCCACTTGCTTTATTTTTGGGGAAACATCCCCTCTCAAATTTATATATCCACTAAGTTTGGTGTTCTGTTCCATCACTACTTCCCATGTTGGCAGCATGGGAGGAACCTGCTTTTGCTGGAGTCAGTTCTGCATACCTGTCATCTGTGAATCAGAGGAGTCCACTGCCCATTCTTGCTTTCGGACAAATCGTTCTTGAGCAAAGCATACAAAACAAAAATTAGGTGGCCTTTTGCTGTTTCCACACAACTTCCAGTTTGTTTTTCTTTCAGGTGGGAATAGAGAGGAAAAAAAGCTTGAATCCAGATAATTTGGGAAAAGACAGTGACAATGCCAAGGAATGTGCTGTGCAATGAAAGGAAGAAGTAGCTCTTTGAAAACAATAAAAGCAACAAGAATTGAAGAAAAGGAACACTGTGCCTCCCTTCTGTATGTAGTCCGAAGAACCAAGAAGTATTTGGAGTGTCATTTCCCTCTCTGAACATACTTAAAATTTGGGGGATATGTTTGCTGACTAGTTTGGGTAGAATTACACTAAGTCAGGGGTAGGCAATCTTGGCTTTTTTATGACTCGCGGACTTCAACTCCCAGAATTCTGGGAGTTGAAGTCCACGAGTCATAAAAGAGCCGAGGTTGCCTACCCCTGCACTAAGTATATAGGCTTGCAGTGCATTCAAGCCTGTTTTCATCTGTTCCAGTATACTTTTTAAAGCAAAACAACTGTGTTTTGTCAGCTCCAGTTCTCAAAATTCTATTCGTGTTAAGTATTTTCCAACTCTACACTTGACATTTCCTGACAACTGGTAATTCAGTCTTCAGTGGAGTTTTTCCAGGTGATCAGCAACAGCCTGAGGATGGGTGGTATAGAAGAGACACCAGACTTTCTGTGTTTCTATCCTGCCTACGGCTCTGTGAGAAATTCTAAACGGCCTTTCCTCTCAGCTAGGTAGAGAGAACCATTGGGAACTCCAAATGAAAGACACATTATATCAGTTTTCCTATATGCCATCTTTGAGGAAAAATATTTAAATAATGTATACTTCCCTTAGTGAATCAGAAATCTTTTATGCAATTTACTTAAATGCCAGAGTTATTCTTTAGATATGATTTAGTAATAGTTACCAGTTAGAAGGTAGACTAGGTGACTTTTGGATCATTCTTTCCTGAGAAGATATTGAGGGAAAATAGATTTAATCTCAGTTAGATGTTTAGCTAGGCTGGTTACTACAGTATGAGTTCCCCAAATCACTACCATACTGCATATATTAATATTTTAAGTTTTGATGGGGTTGGTAAAAAAATTGCTTAACTTTTGTAAATGTTGATAATGCTACTTTTAAATTTTGTCTTAACACTACATTTTATTTCGGAGATACTTCAAAGAAATAATTTTCTGTGTTACTAAGCAATTAACGTTATTACTTTATACAAGATAGACATAATGGAAGTACAGGGAAGGTTTTTATGAATTCTTGTGTCCACATGATCTTTTTCATAGTGATGAAAACTTGACTTCTTGAAAAATCTCAGCTCACAGTTGTTGTTTTTAAGAATCAAGTTTCTAATTTACAGGTCTCTAGGAATATTCCTAACTATGTCTGGACATAACTTTGAAGAGCTTTCTATGAGTATACATTGGGGCTTCAGTATTCTGCATATCCTTTTTAATCTCCCCATGGCCAAAAAGTAAAAGTTACCAATAGCTATAGGAGTTGTAGTCCAATATATTGAGAGGACCACCAAGTTGGGGAGCTGTACGTATCGATAATCACATTTTCTGTCAAGCAGAATTTGGATTATCTTTGCATGGGTATTAATATGTTTGTATGAGTACAGAGAATTCTGTTGGGCATCTTTACCTCTGGAAATGCCAGGCACAATTTCTGGCAAGACATTAGGAAATGCGTTGTTTAGTTACTCTACCCTAAGCGCAACATTGCTCAATAGATAGTGCCATGAAAGCCTATTCACAGAATTCTGCCTAAAATATTCTGGTATTATAATAAATCCCAGCTTTAAATAAATTACTAGGGCTAGACTAAAGGTAAATTTCACATATTTTGTCCTATAGACCATATTATTCTGGAAAATGGTGCTTGATGCCTGTTCTCCTGGAATTTTGTGGTTTGATGAAATTACTGTCCAATCACTTGTATAAGGAGGGGAAGGTGTAACTTGTACTTAACCTGTGGGCCAACAGCAATTTCAGTAGAAGAGAATATGTGATGCTCAGGGGTGAACTCTAAAATGATTTTAACTTTCTGAGCTTGGTTGTTTTCATTACCCAATTAGATAATAGCATCAATGCAAATAAAGTAAGTGTGGGCTTTGCTGTTTGTATACTATTTATATACAGTAGCTTGCCTGCCAGTTTTGGTGGTTTTCCATTGGTAGATCTTTGAGTAGAGTATTGTTTTCCATTTGATTGTTTGCTTAGTGTTATTCCCTGCTCATTTGGCTGCTGGAGACGATATATTCTGGTCTTTTTGTTTTCTTTTTAGCTTTTTTATTGTCTCTTTTGAATGGTATATACATGTGATTTATCTCTGTATGTCTGTTGATGGTGGATTTGTCTGATTGCCAAATGTCTAGGAAATCCCTAGCATTTTGGATTTAATTTTGTCTAAGATGCTCACAGTTCCCCAGCTGAAACTATGGTTGAGTCAGTCCATGTATTGTGTAGTGAGATTAAGGAGTTTTCATCATGTCTTCTGACTGTTAATTGGTGTTCATGGATGTGCTTTGTTAGTCTTCTGTTTGTCTGTCTTCCATAATAACTGTTACAGCCTTTACACCATATACAGGCAATCCTCAACTTACAACAGTTCATTTAGTGACCAAAGTTATAACATCACTGAAAAAAGTGACTTATGATCATTTTTCACACTTATTGCAGCATCCCCATGGTCATGCGATCAAAATTCAGACACTTGGCAACTGACTCACATTTATGACCTTTGCAGTATCCTGAGGTCATGTGATCCCCTTTTGCGATCTTCTGACAAGCAAGTCAATGGGGAAGCCAAATTTACTTAACAACTGTGTTGCTAACTTAATACCTGCAGTGATTCACTTAAGAAATGTGGCAAGAAAAGTTGTAAAATGGAACAAAGCCCACTTAACAAATGTCTCATTTAGAAACAGAAATTTTGGACTCAATTGTGGTTGTAAGTTGAGGACTACCTGTATTATAAATGACTCTACAACATACATCTATAGCATACAGTGAATCTTCTATAACAGGGTAAGGAATGGAACAGCCACTGTGTATTCACTGGAAAGAATGCAAAGCCGTAATCAACTTTCTGCCACTGTTTTGATTCAAGATCTATTTTTTCTGTAATGTATTTAACTTTTGTTCTTGATTTAAATACCAGACTATTTGATCCTCGCTTTTGAGTTGTTTTCATCTGCTCTTTCTTTGCTATATCTTACTTTCTACTGACTGTGTGAGAAATAATTCTCACAATACCAGTAATGTCCCTTCCTTCATAATGATATATATTTTCTCATTTGGGTAAACTGTAGGACAAAAAGCCCATTGTTGTCCTTTATTCACTTCATATCATCTAGCACATCAAGAAGCACATCTGCCTATGTCTCCTAGCTGCATTGAGCTGAATATTGTTTACTGTACTTGGTTTGCACATTTAATTGCAAATTACAATATTTATAAAGTATTTAAATATTATGCAAGCTTGTCTGAACCAGCCCTTCAAAAATTGATGAATGCCTTTTTCAATGAATACTAAAGCTATGAGGTTAAGTGGAAGTCTTTAAAAATACTTATTTCACATGCTCTGATATATGGGTGTGGTAGAATATTCAGGAAGCCTAATTAGATTTTATGTAATCTCAGAGAAAATGATTTGGGAAAGGGAAATGAACATGGGGAAGATTATTTCTATGTAATGTAGTACATAGCCCATTGGGGAGTTTAAAATGTAAATATGAACATATTTTTAAGGGCGCCCAGAAGTTATTCTTCCCTTGGTGATCAATTTTAAAGTGGTCTGAGCAGGCAGTCCCTTTCAGGATATATCCTTATGAAGAATGCACTAACAACATTTAAGGTATAAGGGAATATGTGATAATCAGCAAATAACAGCAACATCCTGTACTTAACAAGACTTAACAAGAGAGAGGGGATTATAGAATTGAGAAGGAGAAGCTAAAATTCCTAGCTGATATTTGGGCCCTCACAAATGAACCATCACTGTTGATTAATAACACCTGCCTTATATAGATTCTACTTTTAATTGACTTATTGGTATGCAGTCCATTGTTCAAGTGAATTGCATATTGTAACTTACCACCTAATTTAAGTCCTCTGTATGGACAACGTCTTTCTATGGTATTGGCAGATTTGTAATGGGAATCCCATTAATTTATTGTGAAAATGTTATCTAACATAAATCGACCCCAAAGCCCTTAAAGACATGAGAATAAATAAAAGGGCTTGTATTGCAATTATGTTGTTGTTCAGTGCCTCCATACAGATAAGTCATAACCTCTTGCACTAATGTATTGTTGTTTTTTTACATATTTTGTAATAGGTTTCTACCTTTTAATGTACTTTGAAAAAGTCTATACACTGGCTAATTCTTTGTAAAAATATTGTGGCACTTCTCCACCCCATCAGAGAAATGTCATTTTGGAGTTTAGGAAGGACTGTTGAATAAATGCAAATGAAGTTCCACATTCACAGCAGTCATGTCTTCATTTTTACATTGTTCATTTTTTTTATGCAGTTCAAAAGGAAAAGATAATGCCATAACATAATGCAGTGGTGGCGAACCTTTTAGAGACCGAGTACCCAAATCGCAACCCATAACCCATTTATTTATTGCCGAGTGCCGGGTGGGCGTGGCTGACTGGGTGGGTGTGGCTGCAGTTGGTATGGCCACCTCAGTGATGCTCGTGAGGAGGGACACCTGTGGAGGCCGGGCAGGATTGGGGGATGATCCAGGCGGTCTTTGGCAGGTGAGAGCTCCTTTCCGGCTGTCCCGGGGCCGTCTCTGTCCATGCCGATGGGGCTGCACTGCGGAAGGGAGATGGTGGCTGATTCCCCCCTGCCGGCCGCCTCCCCTGCCCCGTGCTCCTTTTATGCAATCCTACGTGACCACAGTGTGGATGAGAGGCTTGGCCGGCAAGGGGGTGGCTTTCCTCCACAGAGCCATCCCGGCCTTCCAGCCCTCCCTAGCCAGACCCCCTCATCTTCCCCCAGCCGGGACCTGATGACTCCCATCCTCCTGCCCCCACCCCAGCCGACCTCCCTGAGTAGCCCAGCCTGACCAAGACAGAGGGAAGGCAAGGCAGAGAACCAGTTGTTAAAATGATTTTAAACCTACCACTGGTCACTTCCAAAGGCCAATCACTCACTCTCCTGCCAAGACTGCTCTTTTTTTCGATTCCCTCACCCCGCCCAGCTCTCGCAGCTCTTCCCAGACTCCGCATGCGTGGAGAGCGGGAGGGGAGGAGCCCAGCAATGGTGCATGTGTCTACAGAGATGGCTCTCCATGCCGCCTGTGACATGCGTGCCATAGGTTCGCCACCACTGACATAATGACTTATTAAAACATGAATGGTTCAAAGTTTCAAGATGCATGTAAAAAGGTGACTATATGGATATAAATTTTGCAACATATATAAGTGGTTTGTGTTTGCCTTGTTCTGGATGTTCTTTTAACTTTCCAGTCTTGTCTTTGGCCCTTGGATTTCCTGATGTCCTAACCATGTCCAGGCCTACTTTGCAAAACATTACCATAAGGAATCCCAATGGAAATTATCCAATAATCTGAATAAAACAGAATGAAGTATAGGTAAAGGCATTGATTTCATTTTCTTAATGATGTCATAATTTTTGCTATGCACCTTTATAATCTGATATCGTTAAAACTGATGGGTCATTTAATCACAAAGTAACTTGATCTGATCATTTTTCAGTATATGGAGTACTAATATCTTGTTATTAGGGGAAAATAAGGTAATATCAGTCTTCATTGATGCTATTCATTTGCCTTGAGTAGGTCCTGAAGGAAGAACACCATCAACCCAAAACTTTTGCCTTCTTTACCATGGAAAAATTGCTATTTGCACATATCCATTAGGCAAACTGTATTTTTAGGTTACAATTCTCACCACTTAAGTATTATGGTCCAAACTATTAGCAAAATATTAAGACTGCCTATACCTCTGATCCAGAATAAGTATCTCAGGGAAGAAAGAACTTGGGGACTTCAAAAAGTCTTCAACTTTGATTAGGAATCTTCCTCACTTTGCTCCTATGTCCTTCTGCTCAGAATGCTGACTAGTAATGCCAGGAAAGATTGATGCAATCCAGCAATGCCAAATATAAGCTCTATACATACCACATTTGTTATTGGTCCACCTGTCCTTTTGCCCATGCCAAAGCAAAGCAAATTTCCTGTAAGAAACTTGAGGGCTGGATAAAAAACTTTCATGGGCAGTATTTGCCTGTCCATCGCAAGAGATTCCCTACGCCGCATTTGGAGAGCTGCTGCCAGCCTGTTTATAACAGCCTGATCCACTATAGTCAGTTAATTTTGCTCTGCATCCATCAACCTGTAATAACAGAGTGGAGTATGGCAGCTTAAAAATAAAATTAGCCATTATTATAGCAATTATAAATGTTTATAAATGGGATATCCTCTACTAATTATTAAATTATAATTATGTATCAAAGGAGAGCATTTTACTATATGAGGGAGGGAAGCTCTGTTCAAATAAGTGCGATACCTGATCAATGTAATACAATAACAAAATCAAAATTCATTACATATTTCCTTTTCTTATATATTTTTTTTCATGTAGGTATCAATAAGAAAAGAAAAAAAAACTAATGCAGGTAAATTTGGAAATGCAATTGTTGCTAAAATATACATAAGTAAAACAAAATGCACAATCATAGATTTTATTTTCTATAATGTCCATTTCTGTATACTATGGTTAACAATTTGGCACAAGAGTAGAGCCAAAAAGAAAAAAAAAGAAAGAAAACTCCTATATAGATAAAATTCTGACTGGAAATATATTTGTATTTTTTTTTAAGTAGATTTTATTGTTAGCACAGCAACATCAGAATTTTACAACATTTGACACTTTTGTGAGTTGCTTTGGTTTAATTCCAAAACGAAGAATCACTGAGAGGCAACTTCATCACCTCTTGTTTAATTTCCCCCTTTTGAGAAACTATTGCCATCTTGTGGTTTGATGTTGGTAGTGCAACTCAAATACTGGGGAAAAAAAATTAGCAACATGCGTTAAATTGCAATAAAAGTACAAAATGTGAATGTTTTTATAAGAAGATGCATACAGATTGTTTTAAATATAGACATTACATTACAAACAAAAATATTGTTTTTTTTTAATTATCACATACTGCCAAATAACAATCTGGAGACTCAGAAAATTAAAAATGATTTCAATCAATAAAAGCAGAACATAGCTAGTTATAAATTTTCATCAGGAGTTGGATCAAAATGAACCTTAGCTATCTACATACTGACCAGATCATTAAGTGGTGGCACAGTGGTTTGAATGCAGTATTGCAGGCTAATTCTGCCAACTGCCTGGAGTTCGATCCTGACTGGCTCAAGGTTGATTCAGCCTTCCATCATTCCAAGGTCCATAAAATGTTGGGGGTAATAGACTAACTTTGTAAACTGCTCAGAGAAGGCTGTAAAGCACTGTGAAGTGGTATATAAGTCTAAGTGCTATCGCTATCATCACACAAAATAAAAGAATAAGCACATCATTACTGGCATCAGTGTCTCAAGTGACCAATATCCATTTTGCAACAACATAACTCAATGAAACTGTCAATAGTGACTACCAGCATTTTCTAAAACTTTTAAAGAACATTCGTCAAATCAGCTCTTGCAGTTAAATTAATGGGAGGGCAGAGCTACAGTGACAGTGCTAACTTGAAAAAACAGAGAAGACCCTGATCTGAGAGATTCTTACAGTGTTTTCTTTCATACACTTCTCATTCATTGAATCTGATGGTCCAGAACGCTTGTTTCTAGTGAGATTGCTGATTTTTAAATGCAATTCAAAGCATCTATGTGTTTTCTATTCAATCATTTGAAGGTACATTTTGAAGCAGCATCTGGAGAATCATTCCTGATATAGTTACCACTGAATGCCACACTTTGAAATGCAACAAAACCTATCGGAACTGGGGATAGATAATACCAGTTGCCATCCTGATAGACAATTCTCTAACAGGAATGTTGATGGAAAAACAATAGCAAGAGAAAATAGAATCACTAGAAATATAACAGAAAAAGAGTTGGACGGGACCTTGGAGGTCTTCTAGTCTCACCCCCTCCTCAGGCAGGAAGCCTTATATCGTTTCAGACGAATAGTTGTCCAATCTGTTCTTAAAAACTTCCAGTGTTGGAGCGTTCACAAATTCTGGAGACAGGTTGTCCTTACTGTTAGGATATTTCTCCTTAGTTCTAGGTTGCTTCTCTCCTTGATTAGTTTCCATCCATTGCTTCTTGTCCTGCCCTCCGGTGTTTTAGAGAATAGATTGACTCCCTCTTCTTTGTGGCAACCCCTGAAATATTGGAACACTGCTATCATGTCACCCCAGTCCTTCTTTACATTAAATTAGACATGCCCAATTCCAGCAACCTTTGTTTTAGTCTCCAGTCCCCTAATCATCTTTGTTGCTCGTCTCTGCACTCTTTCTAGAGTCTTAACATATTTTTTACATCGTGGCAATCAAAACTAGATATTCCAAGTGTGGTCTTACCAAGGCATTATAGAGTGGTATTAACACTTCAAGTTATCTTGATTCTATCTCTCCATTAATGTAGCCTAGGATTGCATTGGCTTTTTTGGCAGCTGCATATACAATATCACATTTCTGTAGGGACTTACATTGTAGCATGGCTATACAGTATTACAATGACCTTATCATTAAAAATAGTCTTTTATTTCAGAAAGCAGTCCTTTGGCTTCATTTATTTTTCAGAAACTCATCTTTATTCTTTATTTTGGTCATTTATCTTTTACCATATAAATGATACCACTTAATACATAGTCTTTCACATTCATATGAAATGTGGAGATTGAATTGCCCTTTTTAGAATATGCATTTTGTAGTTCTCTTGGTTTTGCTCTTGAATTTTCCTTTTTAAAGCAAAATTATAAACACTTTTTTATCCTTGCAAGCTTCTTTCAGGTAAGTCCTTTTTTCAAATCTGTATTTTTTCCAACAAAATATGCTCAACTGTAGGCTAAAGGCTGGCCTATTGTTTAAATAAATGTTATAAGCAAGAGACTCCCAAGACTCCTGGATAAAGTCATACTTTTATACAGGATGTTGCACGATATTCCAAAACTCTTCACTGTATCTGAAAAAGACCTATACCAACATTGTAGACTACTACAAAGCTTTTTGGAGATGCATTTCAAACACCCTTAAAACCACCAGTCCATGCTTTATATAACATGTTACCTCCACAATGAAATCTATTATCTCTTTCCAAATACTGAAATATTTATCCTGACTAAAACAGCTATGCATTGGAGACTTGTCATACAGAAAAGAATCAACATTTTCTGCAAAAGAACTAAAGGCAGTAAATAAGTTGGAAAGCCAACATAATGCAAAGCACCAACTTCTAAAGGCATATTTAACTGTGGGGACCAGTCATTACTTCAGTTAAATATGCCTCTAGAACAGGGGTTCTCAACCTTGGCAACTTTAAGACTTGTGGACTTCAACTCCCAGAATTCCTCAGCCAGCAAAGCTTAAAGTTGCCAAGGTTGAGAACCCCTGCTCTAGAAGTTGGTGGCATGTATCTGTTTAATTTTAAAAAAATACCAAGAAACCTAGGGTGCATGGTAGGCCACATATGGTCTAACTATGCACTAATCTTTGATAGGAATTTCTAGCCAGGAAAGTTGCTGCTGTTGCTATAGTTGTAAACGGCCTACACATAAGCACAAAAGATTACCTGATCCAGCCTTTGGAACTACTTACCAGGGAATGGTACACATTCACTTGGATTACACTGACTATAGAGCATAAGCTGCAGCCTGCAGCAGGAACAAATGGATGAGAAGCAAGATTATTCATTTATTTTTTTATTACATTTATATGCCGCTATCTCACTGTCAAGCAACTCTGGTAAATTATTTTGTTGATTGTTGCTTTGAGGTCAGAGCTGGTAAATCAATGGTTTTTCAGAACAGTTCCCATTCCACATTGTCATTATGGGAAGTATATTACATTATTAGTTGGTATCCAAATCTCTTCTTTTTTCTTCTCTATTCCCTTTTTCTTTTGGAGGTGCCTAGAGTCTCTGCCTGTAATTTAAAACTTTTGAAATACACTGCATGTAAGTTTTTAAGTCTTTTTTTACTGAATAACTTGAAAAGAAGCTTAACCATAAATTAATACACATGCAAAAAATTGTGGAAACAGGTAGCTTTAGAAAATGAAAAGCGTGTTAGCAGTTCTTCTAAAACACAGCTTCATAGGTGTTTCCAAGTCTCAATTTCTGAATTAGTTTTAAGACTAAGCAGTAGCTGGTGCTGAACCAATTTGAATAAACTGACATTTTATATTGTAAAGAAGGATGTTCAGTTGGAGAAATAAAGCATTCAGTAAAAGAGGATATAGAATTGCAGGAATGCTGTGGCAATGAGATAATTTTATGGATGCTATGAGAAAGGAGATAATGAAGAGAGAAATGCAGATATACTTTTGGGTCAAAAAAAAATAGAAAAAGGGGAACATCTTTTTCTGTACTTCCTTCCCATACTTTTCTTTTGTATTAGGTTTTTAAATATAGCTAGTCGTTTCTCATGATTCTGTGACCTATTTTAAATTACATGTAAATGAAATACAGAAATGTTTTAAAATGACATTTAAAATAGAGTTCATACAAAAATCTCGAATACATTACAATTAATTTGATTAGAGGAAGAAGTAACCACACAAAGATTTTTTAGCTGTGAAAAACAAAAGACTATTGTGGTATTTTAGAGATAAATTTATTATTACTTAAGTTGTATATAACAAATGCATACCGCCCAGAGCCCCTCTACGAGACAGATAGTGATTAATACGTTTGATAGCTAGATAGACAGACATTGCAACTGATGATGCATCTAATATTATGATCTGCCTCCAGGAAAGGTTACACATTAGATCAGTACAGATACTCCTTGATTTGCTAACACAACTGGGACCAGAATTTTGGTCACTAAGCGATGTGGTCATTAAGTGAGCCATCACATGAATAGACCCAAGTTTACTAACAGTCATTAAGCAATGAGGTGGTTGATAAGTGAATCAAATTGTCCTTAAGTAAATCTGGCTTCCTCAATTGACTTTGCTTATCAGAAGCTGGCTGGCAATATCACAAATTGTGTTCCCATGACTGCAAGATTGTGCAACTGTTGCAAATGTAAGCCAGTTGCCAAGCACCCAGATTGCAATCACATGACTGTGCGGATGATAAAATTGTTGTGTGAGGATATAAGCCATTGTAATTCTGAACTGTTGTTAAATGAACAATAGTAAGTCAAGGACTACTTGTAATTTTGCTATTGTTGTTTTATTAAAAACAACTGATGTATATATCCAAGCATCTTTAACTTTTACAAAGGAAATGGTTGTTATTCAGTCACTTAGTTATGAGACCCATGGACCATAGCACACCAGCCCCCCCCCCATCTTCCACTGTCTCCCTGAGTCTGCCCAAACTCATGCCCACTGCATTGATGACACTATATAATAATCTCATCCTCTGCTGTCCCTTTCTCCTTTTGCCTTCAATCTTTCCCAACATCAGGGGCTTTTCCAATGAGTCCTCTCTCCTCATTTCATGGCCAAAGTATTTGAGCTTCAACTTCAATATCTGTCCTTCCAAAGGATAGTCAAGGTTGATTTCCTTTAGGAACAAAGGGAATAGGCCATCTTTTAGAGTTAAAATCACAGTATTATTGACTGAGAGCCATGTTAAACAGGGAGAGGGATCGCTATGACAGTGGGTAAGATCATGATATAAAAGCGGGTTCCTAACATAACAGCTGGTGGGCAAGAGAAAAAAAAATTCAAAGGAAAAAAATTATAGACAATTTTTTTTTAAAAAATCAACATTTTAAATTGATTTTGGTTGCTGCAAAAACAGCTGCATGCAGCTCCCTATGGACTGGGAAAGTCCACCCATGCTTCAAAACAGTGGTTCCCAACCTTTTCTATACCCTGCACCCCTAGAACGCTTCTGATATATTCTCGCACCCCTTACAAAAGTTCGAAATAACAGCAACAAATTATGCATATACACTATAATTTTGAAAACCCAAGCTTTCGCACCCCCTGGAATATCATCTCGCACCCCTAGTTGGGAACCCCTGCTTTAAAAGATACTGTAGGCTGTTCCCATGACATCTAATAAAGTACTAAAGTACTTTCTTCTCTCAGACCCACATTTGACAGGAAGTTACAGAAGACTGCTCTTATTTGGACATTTTTGTTTATTTGCTTAATTATGCAAAATCAGTGTTTACATTATGCTCAATGTTCACTGACTTGTTTGTAGTCCCTCCTAAACTACCTCTCTCCGGGTTGCTTTTTTTAATTTTGTATTTCTTATATATGGACAGGGCTATATGCATACATAATATATTGTGACACAATAAAAATATATTTTCTATGGTTAATACTGTTGTCTGATTCCGTGAAACCAGTATAATGCAAAATAAAATTTGGAGCTAAATGAAATGTACAGCTCTGCCTTAGCACTTTGCATTGAAATGTGGTTGTCTGACACAGGGTGATTGAGAATGTCCACGTACAAAACTGATGAATATCAGAGCCAACTAGGATTCTATGAGCTTAGTAAATATGAAAACAGCACTATCTGCAAAAATGAGAAATTATAGACATACAAGAGCAAATGCACATGTGATGCACTGAAAACAGAGCATGCTAGTGCATTGTAAAGTGCTGCCTTAACACTCTGCATTTATGAGAATCATTAATGTTATACATTACCAAGTTTATGAACTATTGGCAAGAGAAAAGCAGATTTGGGTTACTCATTCCATGCAAATACATTAATATTAAGGTATCAATCAATTTCACTTGCTTCCATTCACAAAATTTCAAGAAAATTTTGATTTTGATCCAGGTTGTATTAGCCTATTCTAAAAAGGAAGATGTTTTCACTGATAGACACTTTGTAGATAACACTTTGATTCATAAGTTATTATGTTCCTTGGATTGTAAAAAATGTAATTTGCTAGTTCTCTGTACTGGAAAAATAATAGATTTATGACAATACACGTTTTACTGGTTTTACCAGTAAAATAGTAGTGGCTTGTCAACCCTAACTCCAAAGAATGTCCAAAACGCTAAAAGCACATCGTTTGAACTATCCAGAGGTTCAGGAAAAAGCAAACTTATGAAATTTCCATCAGTCAGAAACCTACACCAAAGCAAGAAGCGAATCTGAAGGCATATATCCGAGTATCAATCAAGAATTGAGTTGCTCCTTCCAAACAAAAATCTCTTCCCTTACTACATCTTCGTTGAAGTATGTAATCCAAAGGGGTGGAGAATCATTTGATTGAAACTACTGTAAGCAGTCAAAAATTCTTTTGTAATTCCTCAAAAGGAGATTTTCATCGGCATCCTGGGATTTAGCTCTTGCTAAATTCAATTCTTTTGTCTTTATTTGATTTTAGCACAACAGATTACGAAACCTTTATATTTTCTGTCTGCGCAATAGGGATGAAGGTAAGAAGATATTAAGTCTACAGATCACGTATTTTGGATCATTTTCCCGCCCAGCGAACACGGAAACCGGAAACAAGGCTTAAAAATCTCTATTTTCCACCTTCGCAGCAGAAATTCCTAAAGCACCCCTAGAAACAGAAGGATAACATTGCTGGAGATGGGAAGGGGGGAACATTCTGCTTGTACTGGATGAAGGGCACTTTTCTAGAGATCGGTAAGCCTGCATTTGGGGCGCGAAAAGATCCCGTTCGCGCTCAGGATTGTCACGCAATCTCTATGGCTGTCGATTTAGCTCCACCCCTGCACGTCCTGGCGCCAGGAAGGCGGAAGAAGTTCGACGGGAGGAGGCGGAGGAAGACGATTTCTCGCTCCTTCTCGCGGCGCTTCCCTCCTTCTCCCCTCCGCGCCTCCCCCTTTCTCTGGCCGCTCGCGCAGCTGCTCGGCACTCGCTATATAAAGGGCGAAACAAGCGGAGCAGACGGCTGGCGGCTGCAGCCCAAGGGCCGCCGTGTGAGGCCGGGGCGCGGGGGAAGAGCGAGAGGGTGGTTTCTTCCGCGCGGGCGGGTTAGCCGGGCTGAGAAGGACGCCCCTGAGGCGAGACAGGGCGGAGGAGGAGGCGGACAACAGCGGCGGCAGCAGCGGGGAAGGGGGCCCTAGCTCGCCTCAGCCTGCTCTTGTCCGGAGGGGGGTGTTCGGGGGCGCCCTGCCTCGGGGTGTGTGTCCTACCCAGGGGTGGTGCGGGACATGGCGAGCTCGACTAACACAAACCCCGTGGTAAGGACGAGGGTTGCGCAAGGGGCTCTGAACGGGAGGGCGGCGGGTGGGTGCTCGGCTTGGGGAGGCGAGGATGGCGGGGCAAGGGCGGGACGGCGGCGGGATCAGCAGCAACAGCCCCAATTCTCGGGCTTCCGTCCATTCCTCCTGTGGGGAAAGGAGAGGAGCGGACGAGCGAGCGCTGGATGCTGCTTCGGGGGAGTCACGGAAGAGGCGCCGCGGGGTCTGGAGGGAGCCCGCTTCGTCTCTGCGAGTGGGGGGCGGGGAGGGAGTCGGGGGACGCTCGGGAGTGAGCTGGCGGTTTTTCCCCGCCTTGGAGGAAAGGCCGGGGGGAGGGAAGCGTGCCGGGAGGTGAGGTTTCGTCCCCCAAGCATTTAACCTGCTATGGTAGTGGTCGAAACTGCCTCTTTCCGCAGACTATAGGCATTGGTAACGAATGGTTGAAAAGCACCTTTAATTCCTAGTCTGGCAGAGAACGTCTCTTACTTCCCTTCACGCAGGGAGATGTATGTTTCTATCTTATCTAAATGGGAAAAGGCCCTTTTGATCCGTCCGAGTTTTCTTCAGGAAGCGCTTTTATTAATCGCCTCTCTCCTTTCCCGCCTCCTTTTCTATGCTTCTCCCTTCAGTTCTTAGAGGTCAGGCTCAGTTTTTGAGTCTCGGTTTCACATCGGTATACAATAAGCAGTCACACGGAAAAGAAAGAAAGAAAAAAAAACCTCCCGGCCCCTTTCATCATGTTACCTTGTTCTGCACTAAGAAAAAAAAACAATGAAAAATCAAATGCACTCAAAAATAAGCCCCCCACCGGTCAAAAAAATGAACCCCTGCTGACCAACCGAAGTCCTGATGCTGATTTGGAGGCGCTCATTTTGTGCTCTCAGATCCATCATGGCTTCCCCTTGCTTTTCTCTCTCCCTGCTCCTTGTGTTCCTCCTCCCTGTGGCTGCCCTGTTTATATAGAGCCATTGCCGCTCTCTAATATAGACTCTGCCAGGATGGGAAGGTGCTTTCCAGCCCCACGTCACCGCCTCTCCATTTAAACACCACATCAGCCTTTAAATACGGAGAGAGCTGTGGAAAGCAGGCTGGGAGGTGCCTGCACTACATAGGCACAGACCAAAAAGCGCTGTCTTTTGTTGCTTTGGAATAGAAGCTTTCACTAGCTCTTTTCAAATTCGGGTTAGCCGGACTGTCACATGATAAATAGCTGCTATTTCTTGTTTTTATGTATAGGGTTATTTTTTCTTTGTAAATTGTGTAAAATGCGGAAGAGTTTTTATTCTACTTTTATTTTATAAAAGTTCTATGGGGTGACTGGCTGAGCGCAGTGGGATTTTGAATTACAGTAGTTTTCAATAGGAAATTGAAACAGCACATATTACATTCTGTAATAAGATGCAGCATGTAATTATTTTTCTTGCTCTTAAAATATTTTTCACCTTTGGAATATAATAAATTTTTATGGATATTATTGAATTGTTCTAAATCATGCCATCTCAGTTTAATCTGGTTGAGAATTGAGCTTCAGTACAATTGTTATCAGTATAATATTGCCCTACAGCAAAATAATTTGATTTAACAGTCAAAGATGAGCATTTGAATGCTCTGTAATGTATAGTTGCCATAGTCTTAATCTTTTACGTTTTAAAAACTGAAATTCTGCTAAAAATGGGTTTTCCATGGAATTTTACATTTACTTAATTTAGGTTGTTTTCACTTTTAAAGAACCTTCAATGTTTTGAAATATCACAAGAGTATATAAACATTTTCAAACAGTTATTTGTGACTTTTTAAAGCCTAAATTGTATAGGTCTGTGATTGAAGATGTCATTAATGATGTCCGAGAAGTCTTCCTTGATGCAAGTGTGGATGAGCAAGTCCTTGTGGAACTTAAAACAGTAAGTTATAACTTCATGTGTCTCAAATAATTCTTGCCTTTTAGCAGGTGAGGGCTATAAACATGGTCACGTAAATGCTCTGGGCCTATGAAGAACAGTCTTGCCTGATGAAGGAAATTAATTAATTCAACCATTTCTGCTAATATAATTATTCTCTAGTCATTCCTCCATTGTGGATAGTGTCAACCCACTTTTTGAGCATACAATAATTTTGCTGCAGTTATATATAAAAACAGTTCCATGACTTTATTTTAGTTACCTATCCATTGGTCCCAAAAGAAATGTCCCTGATTTCAGTTGTGCTTTAATCTTTTAAAATGTTCTAAATTAATGTATGCATTTGTATCTAAAAAAATTTGGCGTTTAACACATCCACCAAACATAATAAAATGTCCCTTCATGTCCAACAAAGATTCAAAACACCTTTATGCATTACAGACAATTTTTTTGGTGACAAATACAATGCAAACTATGCATCTTTTTATAAAGATTAACTTTAAAATTAGAATATAAGAGAAATTTTAATCCTTTCAACAACCTATTTTCCCTTTGTTACATTTGCATATTGTAACAAAAAATTTAGCCCATTTTATATATTCACTTGTCTCATATTTCAAAAAAAAATATACATTTTAGCAATAATACATTTCTCTTCAGTATATAATTTTGTTTCAAATTCATTCTTAGAATGTTAAAAAACCAATTATCTTTTATCCAATATGCTTCAAGTATTCCTCCATAGATATCAACAGGAGCTCAAAACAAGCTTTTATTTCGTCATTTTTCATGCAAGAGATACAAAAATAGATTAGATGGTGGTCCATACTAAGTTTCAACTACACTAAACTACCCAACATTGGCCAAGGAAGTCAATTTTTTAAAGACACTGGTAGCATGCTACAAAGAGTCAGCTGACTAGTGATAAATTGTTTCCAATGTTACATTTTTAAAATGTGTAACTATCATACATGTCAGTAAAATGAAACACAACCTAAAGTTTGTTTATAACTTACATTGTTATTTGCTCACCAGTAAATAAATATTTTTTAAAAATAAATACAGCTATGGGAAAACAAATTGCTGCAATCCAAAGCTGTTGATGGATTTCATTCAGAGGAACAGCAACTTTTACTGCAAGTACAGCAACAACAGCAGCAGCAGCAGCAGCAGCAGCAACAGCAGCATTCCCATCATCATCACCACCCGCAGCCACAGCAAACAGTTCAGCAACAGTCCCAGCAAGTCCTTATTCCGGCAACACAGCAAAGTAAGACTCTTTCTGAATCTTAAGAGTGTTGTTGCCAATGTTCCAACCTTGTAATCAGAAGATTACTGGCAGTCACCAAAAACGTTTGATAAAAATATTTTCCTAACAATAACAATCCCGTAAGATAGGTTAGTCTGGGAAAAAGTGACTGGCCCAAGTCACTACCTCATAAGATTCCTATGAAACTCAGTTGATATTACTGCCAAGTTTTTATTTTATCAGTTTGATTTTAAAAGTTTTAATATAGTTTTTATGTTATTTTAATATTTGATTGGGAGCCACCCAGAGTTTGTTATAAGATAGGTGTCTATTTAAATGTTTTAAATAAAATATGTATTATTTGTAGTTTCAGTTTTTTTATAGCTATTGCCCATTTGAATTCATAAAGTGTCTCCTGAAAGCAAAATATGTCTATGTAGTATGCAGGAAAGTTGATACTATAATAGCTTTTTTCTTACATTTTCTTAAATTTAAATAACTTTAGATGAAATTCTAACTCATGGATGAACATCTTTTTCTCAAAGTCCATTTTTTAAAAATTATATTTTTGTTTCTCAAGGGTTATGAATGTATTCTTACTGACAAAAGTATGTCATTGAATGCATAGGCAGCAATTTTCAGACTTTATTCAGGCTTTGGGTAGGTTAAATGTTGAAAGAGTTTAGATGAAAACTTGTGTTGTCAAAAATTGCCAGTGGCAGAGGCCTAAGCAGGCATACAGATTCTTTGAATGAGATGCATTTTTACATTTATTCAACCTGCATTTAATAGTTTTTAAAACAAAATGAGACAAAATTAAGGTCAAGGAAGGATACCTCCCTACTCTCCTATATGCATGTGGACATTAGTGAATAAATCTTCAGAGAAGTCATGCTCCATTTCCTGAGCTAAATCTCTGATTAGACTTTCTTTGCACTTCCTTGTGCAGGGAAAAGTGTAGGATTCTAAGATAGGGACATGATGGAGCTGAAAAAGAAATATATGACCAGCCAAACTGTAGAGTTTTCATGACTGAATTATACCTCAAAGCTGAGGTTTCAATTATGAAACTAATTTAACTAATGATTGTAAGCTGCCCATACCTACCCTATATTAAAATGGGCAGCCAATACATTTTATACATAAATAAATAATTTTATTCATGAAACAGCCATTTTTAACCTTGAAGTAGAATGTGCTCCAAATTGAAAATATTTTGCCCACCACTGAAAGAACAGTTACAAATTAATTACATAGACATTGAGGATTTTTGTATTTACAGACTGCTTTTACTTAACTATATATTTTATATCAGAGTTTACAATATATTTAGTACAAAAACCTTATTTGAAGAGGAAGCATAATAATTTGTTATTAATAAGCCTTGTAAAATGTTTTATGACAATCATAGCAGTGATTGCTTGTTTTATTCCAGCACCTCAGCCTCAAGTTATTATGCCAGATTCCAAACTGATACAGCACATGAATGCATCAACCATGGTAAGAATATGTAATTCATAATGTTTTAACTGTGCATAATAAAAATCATATAAGGGAAGATAACTTTATGCACTATACAGTGTGTTTTCTTCCTACTTCACTATTTTACCAAGTTCAAGACTTCAGCTGTGTTTATTGTTAGGAATTTATTTCAACAAAACATGATTTAGATAGCATCACTTACTGCCTTCACATTCATGATCTCTTTAAAAAAAAGGCAACCATCTTGTGCCAATAGATAATTAAAGTTGATCTCTTCTAATTAATTGTCCTTAATACTTAAAGGAATCTATTTTATTATTAACTAGAAAAATGCCTTAAATTATTTAAAGATGCTTCATTGATCCAAAACAAGGGACAAATATGTTTTCTTAAAAAAATAGAATGGTTGCAAAATTTGAAAAGATGCCTAGTTTTAAACTATCAGATTTTCTCTATTTCTTAAGCACTTCACACTAGGTTTGTGCAAAATTGGTGATAATTGCCATCAGCTTTTCGTACTTGTATGTAGCTAGAATTAGTTTAGGTTTTACAAGCAATAGATTTTTCAGAAAACGATAGGCGAACATTAAAAATAAGTATCTTTGCATTCATACACACAAATGCTGCTTAAGATAGGGTATTGCATTTAAGTTTGAGAGGTTCTTAGCTTAAATACTTTAAGGATTATATCAATGAAGTATCTTAATAGGGAGCTCTGGCCTCTACACTTTTACATCTGTGTTTGCCTATCATCTAAATTATGTTTAAAATAAATGAAATTATGAGAGCATGTAATCATAATTAAAATCTCATGGGTGCTGTAAGCTGTTCTTTAAGCATGACCAAATTGGGATCAAATCAAGAATTAGAGATTTGGGGGTGGGGACAGAGTTGCTGTATTTTGCATAGCTAACAACAGTGTGCATAGGCAATTTAACTTGTGCTGGGTTATTAAATATTGTTCTGTCTTATTTGGATTTAAATCTGTCAAGAAACTGAATAAATTTCAGTTTGATTCCTAAGTTTGAAGAGAACATAAACTTTCACTTGTTATCTGAAATCCATATTCTTCTACAAATGTGCACAAGAATGTATACAAAGATTTATGTGATGCTCTACTTCTGGCAAGTCAATTCATTTCATTAAAATTAATAGAAAATTACTTTTTAAATGAAAAATAGTATGATAATATGTATGATGTTGAATGTGGCTTAGTTTTTCTAAGAAAGAAAGAGTAAGAAAGCATTTGGCATATAATAATCTATAAATCTCTGCCTTGCTAAACTTCAGGTCTGATTTCTTAATTTAATGTTTTGTACTTTATTGGTTGAACCATTTATCTTTCAGAGTGCTGCTGCTACAGCAGCCACTTTGGCTTTGCCTGGTGGAGTTCAGCAGATACTCACAAATTCAGGTATTTTTTTAATCTTAATTTTTCAATTCAAATATTTGTATGGTACTTCTCATTAAAATCTCAGTGAGCTTGCAACACATCCTATTTCAAAAAGGCCATTTAAACAAACCAATATTAGTATATGGAAAGGAAAGCAAAAATGTATGACCTAGCTGAGGTAAGATGACTTTGGTTGATAGAGGTAGAACTATCCAAACTTAAATCTCAATCTATTACAAGATAAAGGTTGTATTGAAAGTTATGGATTGTAATCTACCATGCTGGTCTAGTGTACTTGTTAGATAGATTTTTTTTCCAACTTCCCAACCTACAATGGAAAAAGAATAAGTCAGCCAAAATCATCCAGGTAGCTTTAATGCTCAAAGAAAGACTATAATCTGGGTTTCCCATTCCTAATCCAACACTTTCACCACTATACCACATTGGGAAAAATGTAAGCTGACTTTCAAAACATAATAATACTATTAAAGTAAAGATATAAATAAATCAATAAAGCCTATAATCAAGAAAAGTTTTCTTAAAGCTCAGTTTCCAAAAACATGCCTAGAAAAAGTATGCACTATTCTCAAGAACTCAAATAGAATGATTAGTGAGAACGTTCCAAAGTTTTAACAATTTTAAAAAGTATTCTATAATGCAAGCTTTTCATTTTTCATTAGCAGACTTTAAATCTCAAATAATGGGAAATATTGCATGGAACAAAATATATAGGTGTGAAAATTAAATCCCCTTTAAATTGAAAGCAATGTATTGGATTTTGCCTGCAGACAAAGTGATAAATGTAAATATCCCAGGACATAATTTGAAAACTTTGTTTGCTCAGAGGTTAAAATGTCATTGAAATGTAGCTGAACAATTGATCCAGATTATGGATAGTTAGCTTTTATAATCATACTGTTCAGGGAAAGGCGTTAAATGGACATGTTCATAGTGTAAAAACTGATCATTTAATTTGACAGTGCAAGGATAGCAGTTTTTTGGCAGTCAGAAATTATACTTTTAATTTTATTTATTGTTTTTTGCTTTTGTTCTTCCACCTTCAGAATGTGGTGGTGGAAGACTACTTTTTGGTATTTATATAATATGCCACTGGCCTTTCTGACTCCAGAGGTTCTGTCTTTTTTATTATTATTATTAAAAAATTTTAAACTTTTACAATAAAAACCCCTTCCCCAATCCCTCCCAACCCACCCCCAAACCCTCCCCCATTCTTCCCAGAGCTGAATACAGGCTTAACTAGATCTTAAAAGAAAAAAAGTTTTAAACCCAAATAAACCTTAAGCAAATATAATTACACTCAATAAACAAATTGTAAAATACTTTAACTCCATTATATATAAAAAACAAAAAGAGGAAAAACAAGAGAAAATTAAAAAAAGTAAAAAATTAAAGAATAATAACAATTACACTTCTAAATAATATCTTAAACTTATATAAATTATTCAAAAGCTAGATAATATTTTCTTATATCATACTTATATTGTATAAGAGTTATCCATCTTTTCCACACCGAAAGATACTTCTCTTGCGATTGATCTTTCAAGAAAGCCGAAATTTTTGCCATTTCCACTAAGTAGGAAACTTTAAAAAACCATTCTTGCAAAGTAGGCAAAAATTCCTTCTTCCAATATTGCCCTATTAACAACCTAGCCGCAGTAATTTCCAGAGGTTCTGTCTTAACACTATCCTTACACTGTTGAACATCTATGAGAAACTATTGTGGGAGATGATGATGATGATGATGATGATGATGATGATAATAATAATAATAATAATAATGTTGGAAGGGACCTTGGAGGTCATCTAGTCCAACCCCCTGCTCAGGCAGGAAACCCTATACCATTTTGGACAAATGGCTGTCCAGTCTCTTCTTAAAAATTTCCAGTGTTGGAGCATTCACCGCTTCTGGAGGCAGGTTGTTGCACTGGTTAATTGTTCTCACTGTCAGGAAGTTTGTCCTTAGTTCTAGGTTGCTTCTCTCCTTGATTAGTTTCCACCCGTTGCTTCTTGTCCTGCCTTCAGGCGTTTTGGAAAATAGCTTGACTCCCTCTTCTTTGTGGCAGCCCCTGAGATATTGGAACATTGCTATCATGTCCCCCCTAGTCCTTCTCTTTGTTAAACTAGACATACCCAATTCCAGCAACCGTTCTTTATATTTTTAGCCTCCAGTCCCCTAATCATCTTTGTTGCTCTTCTCTGTACTCTTTCTAGAGTCTCAACATCTTTTTTACATTGTGGTGACCAAAACTGGATGCAGTATTCCAAGTGTGGCCTTACCAAGGCATTTGGAGTGTTGGAGTGAGATGCTATTAATATGCAGATAGCACACAGCTCTATATCTCTTTACCAATTAATTGCAAGGAAGCAATTTTGAACAACTTTTTAAATGTTGCATAATTTTTAGAATGGACTAGATGTAAGAAAATAGGCTGAAGTTAAATCTAGACAAGGTGGAGGTACTGTTACTTGCACTAAAAGAGCTAGTCTGTATTCTGGGAGTACTCTGACCCTCAGTGTCTCTGGATTCACAATACTGTATTTAGTAAGGAGAGTGCCTGCACAATTAAGGCTATGTACCAGCTGTGATTTCCTAAAGAGATCATGCTTCCTGAGCTATGACTTCCTGAGGTGATCACCATTTACCAAGGTAGTTTTCTACACCTTGGTAATGTCGCATTGTACTAGCACAACATGATTTTGCATAGGACTATTCTTGAAAGATTTAGTTTGGCCATGTCATGCAAATTCATTGGAGAGGTCAATGATGCTAGGAATGGTTAGTGGGTCCAGAAGAAGAAGCAAACAACTTGCTACTTTGATATCATCAAAGCTGATACCAAAATGAACATCCAGCTACAAAATTAGCTGTGCTTGACCGGGTTGCATGGAGAGCACTTGCCTATAAACTTGCCAAGATTAGGACATGCCCCCTCCCTCATCTCACCTCACCCTGCAGGATGAGCCTCCTGCCCACTGCCCCACTCACCTGGCCCCCAAAGGCACCCCTCCCCAAGAGCAGCATCGAGCTGATCACACCCACCCTGGCCACGCCCACCCTGGCTGTCATGACCACCGTAGCCATGCCCATCAAGCAGGCCACCCTCACCCTGGCTGCCATGACCACCGTAGCCATGCCCACCAAGCGAGCCACCCCCACCCTGGCTGCCATGACCACTGTAGCCATGCCCACCAAATGGGCCATGCTTACCCGCACTTGGCGATACATGTGGGTTTTGGGTTGCAGTTTGGGCACTCAGTCCCTAAAAGGTTCGCCACCTCTGTCCTAGATAATGGGTGGTACGCTAAGAGACTTGGGCAGGGTAGGGATTTTGAAAATCACGTTTTATCATTTTCTGAGTTGTTAGAGGCTCAGATCTTCAGAAAAAAGTAAAGCTAGTCATGACGGAGGGTGGAAGCCCAAGAGTGTGGGATCCCATGTGACAGGAAACAGGTCCAAGTCCTATAGGGATCCAGCCAGGTGGGAGATAGGTCCAAGGACCCAGTGAAGCAGGATGCAGAGGTAGTAAGAACTGGCAGATTACTAAGCCAACAGATTTTGTTCTTATGACTGCGGAGACTATGCAGCTGCCATAACTTTGAATATAGATTGTAAGTCTACATTCAGTGCCCTCTTGGTTATGCTATTGATATATCAGCTAGAAATAAGATTTCTCTGTTGTGCTACCCAGTCTCTGGAATATCTTCCTCCAATTAATGGATGAGGCATATACTAACTTGTTTTTTATTTGACTTTCTGTTTAAAACTCATGATTATTTTATATTATGTGAAGCATTTGGTTTTAGCTCCTGTAGATAGCCAGTGTGCAGTCATTTTCCTTTACCTAATTCAATATGTATTGAAACTAGGTTCCTTTTTATTACAGGCCAACTCTTACAGGTGGTTAGAACTGCCAGCGGTGTTCAATATTTTATTCAGCCTCAGCAGCAAGTAGTTCTACAGCAGCAGGTTATACCACAAATGCAACCTGGTGGAGTTCAGTCTCCTGTCATTCAACAAGTAAGATTGCTGTCAAATAGACATTTCTGAACTTTTTTTGTATTGTATGTCATAATCCATCTGGATTTTAAAAATTCCTTAATTGCAATGTAGGGAATACTGAATTTGTTTACAGGTTCTAATATTGGAACTATTTTCTGCTTTCCTCTCCCCATCCCTTTTCCTATTTTCACACTGACCTAGTTGTATTTGTTTGTACCTAAGCGCTTAAACAAGCCTCTATTCTCAACTGATACAAATAATGCTGGTATATCAGAATAAGGATATTTAAGAGCAAAAATGGAAGAGTATAAAATGTTAGGGTACAAGAAAGTAGAATTTTTGAATATAATGACTATTTATTTTGAAGAGCATAGTAAATTAATTTGATTTCGGTGAAATTAAGAAAGTAAGTTCCTTTCAAAAACCATTGATAGTTAGAAATACTTTTATGCTGCTGTAAGCATGCAGCTCCAGGTTAGGCAAAAGAATATATGCCTACATTCATATCAGTAATAGCAAATAGTAGGTAAACAATAATTAACACTCATTTGCAGTACATCTCTAGTCATGACTCAAGTCACTAAATATTCGTATAAGAAGTATTTAAACAGTGTCCTGACTATCAGGAATGAGGGTACAGAGCTTGTTTTTGGTGGTAAACTATAGAAGAGGAGCTCCAGTAGAGAATACATCTATTTCAGTCCCCTCTTATCTCACTTCATGTGAGATGTAGACTTTCAGCATACATGTTCTTCCAGCACACATTCAGAGGGCAGATTCTCTTTGGAGTAACCTTGGTTGCAAATTACCGTGCCCCCTATGATGTAGGACTTTAAAAGGTTACAGCAGTATTTTAACTGTGTTCAGAAACCAGTGATCAAAACAGTTTCCATAGTACCATTAGTTAATAGCTGTTTCCATTAGAACACTGGTTCCCAACCTTTCTGGCACCAGGGACTGGTTTCATAGAAGACAATTTTTCCACAGACTGGCAAGGGGGGGGGGGAATGGTTTTGCATGCAACCTAGAACCTGTGAATGAGCAGATGAAGCTTCACTTGCCCGTCATTTGTGCGGCCCAATTCTTAACATATCATGGACTGGTACTGGTTCACAGCCTGGCGGTTGGAGATCTCTGCATTACAATGCTTGCTACTGCACATGGCCTATTATTGAAATTTCTGGAAAGTCATCGAAGGTACTTCCATTGGTAACAGGAGTGTGAGTAACCATTACTAGTACCTCCTGTTCTTGGAATGGGTACAGTGTTACTTTGAGTAAATTCAGATTGCTTTATTTGCTAACAACTTGCATTGTCCAGTTGATAGTTCTGGTCCATCTTTCCTAAGTATACACAGTTGCTTTAAAAGAGGTCACACATAGAATAACAGCAGGGAAATAGTTTCTCTTTGGTAAAGTTACTGTTAGAGTGTAGGCCTGAACTTGGGCTCGTTGATGCCTCATCTTCTGCAAGCCTGGTGAAGGTGATAAAGAAGGAAACAAGCAAAACTTGTTATTTAATTACAGTTTTATACAGATCTTGTACTACTAGTAAGTCAGCATAATGAATGTTAAATTCATTATGAATTAAGTGAACAGATCTATTGTACTGAGGTCTATAGGCATAAAAATGGAAAGTCAGTGGAAATAGAAGCTACTCTAATTGATGGATTGCTGTAGGGTAAATTAGTTTTTTATCATACTGTATTTAAATACAGTGGCATCTTGGTGCTCAACTGCATTGAAAGTCATCAAATTTGATACTCAACACATTTTGACATGAAAAGTTTTCCTGGTACTCAACATTTGTTTGATACTCAACACACAAACTAGAACTTGCCAATGTCTTCTGCCTTGCGACTCACTGCATTATTCCTTATGAGAAAAATGTGTTTGGTACTGATCTTTTTTGGTACTCCTCATGCCTCCCAGAACCAATTAACGATGAATACCGAGGTACCACTATATAGTCTTTAGACTGCAGTGGGTGAGAAATAGTATCACTTAGTACATGTGCAAAGGCTGCATATCTGCAGTAGTAGAGCAAAGCTGATACTGGAATAAAAATAGATTCCCCTCCTGCTTACCTAGTTCTATTTTGAGTAGGTCACATCTGGAATTTTGTGAACATGTTGTGGGTACAATTACTGAATGGCTGCCAAGAAATGCCTAGCCAGTTAAGAAACCCGAAGATAATACGCTGTTCTCTGTGGGGCCCAGTTGTGTTTTGGGAAATAAATATGCTAGAGACCATTTTACTTCGCAGCAGGCCAGTCTCCTAATATTATTAAAAGAGGCAGACAGCACAGTGGGAACCCAGAAACAAGCAAGTTGCCTATCCCTATTGTAATTCTTTTCATTTGTTACCATTACTTAAAATAGAAACATGAGAAAATAACTGGTAATCTTCCTTTATGATAATGTCATCTTATATCAATTTATCAGGTGAAATGATTACTCTACAAAATTCTGGAATGTAAAAGTAATTTTTGAGGTAACTCATGAAAATGATATTTTTATATTCAAATTCTGACAATACCTTGGGATATACAAAATATCCCATGTACAAGCTATTTCTTGCTCAGAACAACTTCAGTCAACCTGACTGAAACAAACATGGGTAAAATGTTATTGTTCCATGTTGAAGTGGCTTTTGGGAGAGGTTCAGTTAAGAGCAGGAGAGAGCCAAGGATATAAATGGCAATCGTTGAGGGAAGTTGCTGAGAAGATTGGTGGCTGGTTCAGATAGTGGAATAGTTTGATTGAGGAAATCAGTGGCAATTGAGGCTGAGAAAGAAAGGAGAGAGCCCTGGGAAGATGAGTACAGATGGGCTAATACTTCATATAACGGGAAGGAGAACTTTGGGGGAAGAAGTAGGGTGATAGGATGTGCCACTTTCAGATCCGGTTGCTGATACCATCACAAAAAAGGAACAGATGTCAAGACCAGTATATTAGAAAGTATTCAGGAAAGGGAAGGAAGCATCGAATTTGGACTATGGCCTGATCTAGAGAGATGGCTGGAAAACAATGAGTTGGGAAGGAATGATATAATAATAATAATAATAATAATAATAATAATAATAATAATAATAATAATAATAATAATAATGATAATAATAATAGTAAAGTTGGAAGGGACCTTGGAGGTCATCTAGTCCAACCCCCTGCTCTGGCAGGAAACCCTACACCATTTTGGACAAGTGGCTGTCCAGTCTCTTCTTAAAAACTTCCAGTGTTGGAGCATTTACTGCTTCTGGAGGCAAGCTGTTCCACTGATTAATTGTTCTCACTGTCAGGAAGTTTCTCCTTAGTTCTAGGTTGCTTCTCTCGTTGATTAGTTTCCACCCGTTGCTTCTTGTCCTGCCTTCAGGTGCTTTGGAAAATAGCTTAATTCCCTCTTCTTTATGGCAGCCCCTGAGATATTGGAATACTGCTATCATGTCCCCCCTTGTCCTTCTCTTCGTGAAACTAGACATACCCAAGTCTCGCAACCGTTCCTTATATGTTTTAGCCTCCAGTCCCCTAATCATCTTTGTTGCTCTTCTCTGTACTCTTTCTAGAGTCTCAACATCTTTTGTGCATCGTGGTGACCAAAACTGGATGCAGTATTCCAAGTGTGGCCTTACCAAGGCATTGAAGAGTGGTATTAATACTTCACGTGATCTTGATTCTATCCCTCTGTTAATGCAGCCTAGCACTGTGTTGGCCTTTTTGGCAGCTGCAGCACACTGCTGGCTCATATTTAGGTGATTGTCTACTAGGACTCCGAGGTCCCTCTCACAGTTACTACTATTGAGCAAGGTGCCACCTATGCTGTATTTATGCACTTGGTTTTTCTTGCCTAAATGTAGAACCTTGCTTTTTTCACCACTGAATTTCATTTTGTTAGATAGTGCCCAGTGTTCAAATCTGTCAGATCCTTCTGTATCTTAAGCCTGTCTTCTGGAGTGTTGGCTATTCCTGCCAGCTTGGTGTCGTCTGCAAATTTGATGAGTTCCCTATCTATCCCTTCGTCCAAATTGTTGATGAAGATGTTGAACAGCACTGGGCCCAGAACAGAGCCCTGGGGCACCCCACTACAACTTCCCTCCATGTAGATGCAGTTCCATTGAGGACCACACGCTAGTACGGCCAGTCAGCCAGCTACGGATCCATCTGGTGGTGATTCTGTCTACCCCACATTTTTCTATCTTATCTAGTAGGTTCTGATCTACTTTATCAAATGCCTTACTGAAGTCCAAGTAAATTATGTCCACAGCATTCCTCTGATCCACTAATTTTGTCACTTGGTCAAAGAATGCAATAAGATTTGTCTGGCATGATCTAATTTTGACAAACCCATGTTGGCTTTTAGTAATGACTTTGTTTGCCTCTAGGTGTTCGTTGATTCGTTGTTTGATTATCTTTTCCAGAATCTTCCCAGGTATTGAGGTCAGGCTGATAGGTCTGTAATTTCCTGGGTCATTTTTTTCCCCTTTTTTGAGGATGGGAACTACATCAGCTCTTTTCCAGTCCTCTGGTAGTTCCCCTGTGTTCCAGGATCTTTGAAAAATATAGTTCAGTGGTTCCGAGATCACATCTGCCAGTTCCTTAAGAACCTTGGGGTGTAATCCATCTGGTCATGGTGATTTGAACTCGTCTAGGCTGGACAGGTGTTCACTTACCATTTTCTTGCCTATCTTAACTTGTATTTCTATTTTGTTTTTTATGGCACTATTTTTGATAGGTTGGTCTGTTTTTTCCCTTTGTGTAAAGACAGATGCAAAAAAGGAGTTAAATAGTTCTGCTTTCTCCCTATTGCTTGTCACCTTGCCACTTTCACCCACTAATGGACCAATAGTTTCCTTCACTTTTTTCTTGTTCTTTACATGTTGAAAGAAGCTTTTTTTTTGTTATTTTTGACTTTCGTTGCAAGCCTTAGTTCATTTTGAGCCTTAGCTTTCCTCACTTCGTCTTTGCAGGCTCGGGCTATTTGCTGATATTCTGACTTATTTATGTGCCCCCCTTTCCACTTTC